TAACAAACTTCATTGCCACTTTGTAGCAGGTGTTCAGTTTTCATTTGACTGTCCCTCATATTTAGATAAACGGTTTCTTTTTCTGTATTTCAGCTATAGTTCATTTCATAGCCTTTCAGTTGCACGTCATACGGCATCCATCTCGCTTTATCGCATTAAGTTGAAAGAAATGCAAAAAACGGTACGTCCACTATAAATTTTCGTGACGCAACAAAATCATGAGATATCTACAAAAATTAAATAATTATGACATTAGAGGTATAGCTTCGGATTTAGTGAAAAACTACTTGACTGAGAGAATACAAAGAGTTAAAATTGGCAATGTAATAAGTTCCGACTGTAATGTTCTAACTGGAGTACCAATACTATTTCTTGTATATATAAATAATATAACCAAAATTAACAATTTTAAAGGTCATATAGTTTGTTACGCCGATGATACAGCACTAATATTTACTGAAACAACATGGGAAAAAGCCTAAAAAATAGCGGAAACTAACTTTATTCCACACAAAACTTATATCAAGAAACTAATCTTTTAAATGTTAGGTCATTTATATTTACCAATGTCTCCTAAGAATGTTTGACCAACAAATTAAATGCCCTCAACAAAACATAAAAGAAACTGACTCTAAATGTAACAACAGATTTATTTAAAAAAACTGTTACTCAGAACTCCTTTCTTTTCTTTGGGCCGAAATTATTTAATGTACTACCTAAACATATAAAAGAAATAAAAATATATGAAACATACAAAATGTTTCACTAAAAATGCCAATTAATCTAACTAAATTATTAATTACTAAAAATAATAATTTTTGTTTAGCCTTTTCTTTTAAAATGTCATTTAAAATCATTGAAACACAATTTTGTTTCCAATCTTCTATATACCAATGAAGAAAGTGAAGTAATAGGACAAATAAGGCGTTTAGAATTTATGCAGTTATATTTAATCTACAAACACATCTGAAATACCTATACATATAGATTGAGTTAAATCGCCCGAGTCAGAACTAATAACAACATATCTTTGTATCTAATCTCATTTATTTCAGAGGAAAATAATGTCAATATTTAATGAAACTACATATTTCTTATTCCACATACCTCGAAGGTATCCGTGGGAATTGACAAACGGAGAGTTTCAAGGACTGCAAACTGCGTTGAGTGCCGCAGGATAGCTACCTGGGACCAATTAGTATGTACCTTCTATACGCAACAAATGTTGATTGTATATTTTAAAAGCCAAGGCGGTAGTAAACACATATTGTAAACTTTATCAGTGCTCGATCTAAGATTTTTTTAATTACTGCATTTTATAAATTCCCAAGATTTGTGGGGTTAACTGTCGCCTGAAAGGGGTTTGTGAGAATACAAAAAACTTCAGATACTACGATGAGTATAAAAATAGACTGTTTTTTCTAACCTCAAAAATAAACGAATTGACAACGAAGGGTTAGACTTAATTATTTCATTGTATGATCAACGGCTTTACAAACTTTGTCCATTCTTTTTTATTTTTAGCTTCATCCAATTTAATTCACTTCTTTTTAAGGAGGTCCTTTCGCCACCAATGTTTAATAAAAAAATATTAGATTATGACTAAAATTAATTTTTTTCTAATAGTTGAAGTCCTTATTTATCTAATAGTGAACTTTTAACTATACCTTATCGTGCAAATTTTTGAGAAATTTTTTTTTTTAAAATGTGATTATTTGTACAGTGTCTTACGAGAAAGTAAGACTTCAACAACAATTTTCGAATTATAATTAAGTATACTATTATTTATTGATTAGATGGAGTAGAAAAAAACTAAAAATAAGGTTTTTAAAATATTTAGGTTTTGTTTTTTACAATAAAATATATAGGTTACCGTGGAATTTATTGAGAAATTAATATTAAAAAATTTTCAACTAGGTTAATTGCTGCTTTCGCCGTATTCAGTTACTATCTTTGAAATAGTTCTGTGTCTTTGGTTAGTTTTAATAAGTTCCTGGGTCGTTCTTTCCGGTTCTAGGCTGAAAAAGATGAAACGTCGCCAAGTAAGAGTTTCGCATGGTATGTGATTTCTTCCTCTTCCATGCACACTCTACACGTAGTGGGATCGTTGTGTAATTTCATCACATGAAGATATTTCAGCAAGCAGTGCCCCGTTAGTAATCCCACAATGGTGGATATCTGAGGCCTTGCGAGTTGTAGTTCCTCAGTGGCCATGCGTGGGTTTGATCCCCTTAGCATGAGATTACTGATTCTGTGCCCTCTTATCTGTTGCTAGTAAATTTGGTGTTTTGTGGTTATTCACCTGTTCACTGCCTGTTGAGCAAAGGTTTTGCTTATCCCAAATACAGGTTCGGGTCCTGTGAATGGTAGATCTGATCCCTCTTTGGCGAGTTCATTAGCCTTTTTATTTCCTTGGATATCTTTTTGCTCTGGTACCCACGCTAGTTTCACCTTTTGTGGGTTGCCAGATCATTTAGTATTCTAAGGCAGTTCTAGACAAGCTTTGACTTGATTCTGTTTGAATCAAGAGACTTTAAGGCTGCTTGGCTATCTTGGCTTCCTTCTTAAATTCTCTCGTACACACAATTCGATTGCATGTATTTCAGCCTGAAATATAGTGATATGTTTTCCCAGTGAGACGATGATGTCGTATTTGGGTTGAACTATCTTAATATGTCACGTCTTCCTGGGTCTTTCTATTGATCTTTTCCCATATTTTATTTCCCATATACCTGCGTTTAACCTGCCGCTCTTGTACTATTCTATTAATATGTCCCAGTTATTGATAATATCGATTCTACTACTAGTTCTTTCTTCACTGTCTCTTTCCCAATTTTATTCCTTTTAATCTTCTGACATATTTCTGCTGTCCTGAATACCGTTTTGTAGACATTCATTTTGTTTCTTTATTTATTTATTTTGCTTATTTTCTTTTGCTAATAATTGTTTTATTTAACATGTGGTAAATTCTAACTGCTTTAGTTCCCCACCCAGCTAGCACATAACATTGCCAAGCCTTTAGAAAATGTGTTAAGGGAACATTACTCTACAACGTAAATGCAACGTTCATGAGAAGTTATTTAGGGAAATCAAAACAACGCAAAACTCCTATTTCTAACTTACCTATTTAACCTTGTTATGTTATCACAACTTAGTAAGGTAATTTGCTATAAAATATATCCACGAGAAGTACTGTGAACATCACATTCTGTTTTCGAACGTAGCCATCCGTTTATGCCATAATAAAACATAATCTAAAAAGTTTGATAAAAGAAAATATCTCGATCGTGCAAGGTTTAACAATCAAAGTGAAATTGTTCCAAGAAAAAACTGAGAAAATATGCATCCAAGAAGAAAAATAAATATAAAAATGTGCTCATTTACTACTCGTTTTCAAAAAAGGGAAAAACGTGAAATCTAGTGACCAATCCTCGTTGTACCTTTTTTATGTTTTTAATCAAATCGTGTAGTAGTTGTTTTACCACTTTGCATCCAGTCAACAATTGAATCATCTTCGTGTGAAACACAAACGTGCAAGCTCAACAAAATTTTGTATCTCAGCTTGCGATTTTATCGTTTTTTTTGTCATGTTTACGAAGCGTAGCGAATTGCTGGCTGAGTGCCCATTTTTCTGTCATGCATTCTATTATTGTAGTGCAGACTGCAATAATTGCGCTCTTTACAACATACAGGATGTTTCTAATTGAAGATTTCGCGAATGTTAATGAAAATTCCACAAAAATCGTAGGTTACGGTCGGTTAATTAAACATGATAAAAAAGTGGATAAATTACGTTATCACGGTAACGCTTTTTTGTTATTTATTTATATATCATATCAGATTGAAACTTTTAAATGTCAATTTTACATTTAAAAAAGAATTAGAAATTCGGAAAATTCTACTTCTGAAAATAGGAAAAAATCTAAATCATTTATTTCTAACCATTTTGGTGATTTGAAAACAGAAGAGACAGTTATAAATGTGGCAAGATATTGATGAATTGGGGTTTTAATATAAAGATAAAGAATATGTTGTGAAAAAGATTTAAAACACAACAATTAAAATATTGCAAAGTTTGTTTTTGAAAATTTATCTGGTAATTTCAAGGTGAAATAAGTTATAATACAATTTGTACTTTTCTTACAGGTCCGATGATTGTCAAATTTGACAGAAACTTTGAGTTTTCTTATCCTTATTTTAAAATGATAAGTCTTCTAGACATTATTTTAAAAAGTTTCAAAAAAAAATTACCAGTAAAATCCAGAAACAAAAATATAAGATATTCCTTATTTCTTTTACAAAAACGTTCCTAGTGGTATTTCTTATTTTAAGGAACTTTGTCATGACATTTCTGTATAATTGTAAAATTTAAACACAAATTTATTAATTTATTTAGAAAGAAATAATAGTGGTAGCTGAAAAAATATAATTCGTAGAAACTATACTTTTTTATGTATCATTTTTAGATTTTCCCTTTCTTTTGCCACTTGCTACATCTATGTCTTCCTTTTTTGTTTTTATAACTTTTGGCATCCAAAATTTTTTTCGGTAGTCTATCTTCATTCATTTTTACAATGTGTTTATACCAGTTCAACTGTTTTTGATCTACAGCTTTGTCTCGGCCTTTATAAATACTAACTCTTGACGATACGTGTTTGAAACACTCTGTACAGCAATAAACTGACTGACATTCACGCAGGCTGCTATTATCATTTCACGAGTTAATTTAAAAGCGGTGTAAAATAGTTTAAAAATATTACAAGGAAGTTATCCTATAAGATTAGTAGAATGCAAGTACAAATTGCTAGTCACTCCAAAACAAACAAAAATATATATAAAAGTAAACCAGAGTTTCGTGGGATATAATCAAACAAAACAAATCATTAATAATACGACAGACACTTGGATAATTAAGTTAAAATAACTAAATTTAGAAAAAGCAACCAATAATAGATTATAAACTTTCCATTTTACGATAATAACATACTGTTTTGTTACAGACGTCACGTTTGTACAAGAAATATGGACAAACCGATGAAAACCAGGCAGACATATTGTAAACCCATCTACAAGAACTACGCTATTCGATGCCAAGGAAACCAAATCTGTAAAGGAGTCAGGTAAGTCCTATTAGTGTCATCAACACCATCAAATAAAAGTATTCATATCCAAATCCAATTATTTTGGGACTTGCTCTCTAGGTGAAGAAGCCACTAGTAATAAAAAATAGATATCGAAAACAATAATTTATAATAATTTTACTGACTATGCCATGTTCTAGTTTCCATAAAATCTGTTTTATCAATACAATTGATTAAACCTATATCAACAGAAAAGAACAAACTAAAGAAATCAACTTCATCAATTCTGACCAACCCAAACCTTTATGAGGCCAGTCCAAATAGACTTAACCCTATTAGACTAAATTAAATGAGAGTAAAAACAGATTTTAACAATTCAAATTTACAGGAGTGGATGGGATATATCCAAAATTATTTAAAATCTTGTTTGATATGTTAATACTTATAATTTTAAAATCAAGAGGCCCCTTTGTTGCTAGAAATGCTGGTGAGTCTAGGAGAGGTAGAGAAGAGGCCAAATACTTATAGCACAATGTCTTACTTATTATAAATACACGCATACCAACTAGAAAAATCAACAGACAGCATTGGATGACTAGAGGGATTGTTTGCAATACCACTTCATTTTTGAATGACAGATTATTGACCTTAGTTGCTTTTAGCGGGACTTGGCGTCCAAGAAGATGTATATTCGGGCTCCATTGGAGATTAGAGGACTAGGCAGATCAAAAGATACCGTATTGAATGGTTTCAAGAATTGTTTGTAACACCAAATAATCTTTTGTATGACAGAACATTAACTTTACTTATTTTTAACGCGACTTGGTGTCCAACCAAGAAGATGTATATTATAGCTCCATTAAAGATTGGAACGTTATTCAAATAATTCGTCATTTCTTCCGACCCCTGCTCCTATTTCTTCTCCTATTTTGGGCCCCTTAGTAAAAAAGATGGTCTACTGATTGTATTACTGTAATATAATAATAATATACCGGGTTTATTTTTGTTTTAGATTAGTATATGAAACTCATTACAAAGATGTAGCAGCAACAAAAAATTCCAACGACATTATGTACGCTTGTTGTCCAGGATGGACTCAAATCACAAATAGAAGCCATGGTTGTAACAAAGGTAAAAAATCAGTTTTAATTTTGGTTTTGTTCTAAAAGAAAACATTGATTTTTACAACAATTTATCTTTTCTTTTTCATTAAAATAGAAAAATAATGAAGATTAATCCCATTCACATTGACCTGAATATAATACCTATATAAATACCCTATTGCGACAATCTGTATGTATACAAATGTCTGCCATTATATATTTAAATAAACTATTCTTTATTAATGGTTAAGAGCTTTTGTTTATTTTCAGTGTGGTAGCCAGACATTTTTCAAAAAGGCAAAAAAGAAATTGGTAACCTACTCAGATTCAACCCCTAAAGGGGCATGTATTTTTTAAAAAGTTAATCAGGAATTATATTATGTATACAGCGGTTTTAATTTTAGATATAAAGTGTGACCGACTTACTTGAAATAGTGATTCCAATTCTTGTAAATTCTTTATTTTTTATCCAATTCCAACCTTTTATTTTAAAGTAACATAAATAATTAAAAGTTCAACTGTAACACAATGCTTCATGATTAAAATTCATTCTCAAGGCTCATTATGATTGTTTTTCAAGACTTCGTCCAAATTTCATTAAAATATATTTGTTAGTAAAAATGGAAAATTAAAGGAAAATAAAATGGAAGAAACCTCAAGTTAAGAATCTCAACAGCTGCGAGCTGATGACACAAGTTCTGAATTTGATTATAGAAAGAGGTTACAGCTGCACTGCCGGCTGTAGGTGGAGTTATGCTGTCTGAATGAGGTTCTACTCGTATTTCCAATTTCACATTTCAACACAGCTCTTCTATGATTACTATTGGCTAATTTGCTATAGTATGAGCATCATGGAAAATGGAGTATGGTTCGTAAGCAACAATCGCCAAACGCTGCTAGAAAGGTCTGGCGCGAAGAGGTTGATGTGTATCTAATTTTGAATACTTCTTGGAAAAACAGGAATTATCGGTTGAGTAAAAAAATTTTGAGACGGTATTATTCCGGACTCAACAAATAGTCTTTCTATGCAAAAAGCTGCTAGAATTAACTGGCGCGGAGAGGTTGATGTGTATCTGATTATGAATACTTCTTGGGAAAACAGGAAAAAGAAATATTCGCTAGAGTAAAAAATATTGAGTCAGTATTACTCGGGGCTCAACAAATAGTCTTTCTATGTATATTAACCAATATTTTAGAAAATCTATTGGGAAGTTATACTAAACCAAAAGTTGTTGTATAAGGTTTTTGAGATATTTAAATCCCCTCATGACAAAATTCTAGGTACCATTATTTACACTAGCTACAATGCGTTCAGTTACAAAAAAGATGAACAACGAAATCAAATTCCCTATCCTTTTGGCAACACCACTGTGTATTTGAATTTATTTCCGGAATTTGAGTGGAAATATCGCTACAATGCGTGATAGTAAATTATTGTAACACGTAGACACCTTGATTTATCAAATAATTTGCAGTGAATTTTCATTAGGGCCTTCCTGGCGTGGCACTTTGACTGATATATGAAGCCGGATGACGACCGGAAGCGTATGAACCGAAATGCTGAATTAGAACCGGTAAAATATGAACGTAGCTCGTTTTTTAGGCGGGAAAAGAATTTATAGGAAGATAAATTTCCGTAGTTAGGTAGATACATTGGTTTCTAAATGTTCCAGGAGTAAAATTACCATCAGATTCCATGATAGATACTTAATGCATCATTGGGTGCTTTCTTTTATGCCGTATGGGTTACTCGCGAGTAGCACTAGAGCTGTTCCTGACCCTGACTTTTACGTTCTTTTTTAATGATGCTTGTTGATCTGGAGCAACTCCCACCAGTTCTCCCTTTTCCCATCTCCCCTCAACACATGATTTTCTTTTACTATACGGAGAAAGGTCGCACTGCGCAGCTTTCTGAGTGCCTTTTAAAAGAAGATAGAAAACTTCGCCATTTCGATCCCTTATTACGTGTTGCCTACATCTTGGCGCAATATTTTTAATAGGTGCGTTTTAATCATCCGCTTCTGCTTCGGAATTGTCGGTTTTCTTGTTTTAATCTGACAGGTTAAAACGACTAAACCGACAATTCCGGAAGCAGAAGCGGATGATTAAAACGCGCCTGATATTTTGCTTGCTGCTGTCAGTGTCAGTGAATATTATTTTTGGAGTCACAGTTTATTGCTAAAGACTCAGTTAGCTCACTCGGACAAGTTGAAAGTTACAAAATAACATCCACTCCAGGGATACAAATTCACGATACGCAGAAGACTGCTGTTTTATTATAGGCGGTTGTCATATATATTGTATTATCCGAGTTGCGCAGTGTATAAACTGGAACATTGAGATCAAAAGTGCCGACGCAGAGTGAGCGATCTGATTCTTTAGCTATAAACTGTGGCATAGTAATCAAACTGGCCGCGCCCTATGTTGGGCGTGTCGGACCTCTCTCTTGCACCGTAAAGTAATCAAAGTATGTGCCCCTCAAGCACTTGCTCTATAGCGGATGCATAGAGTTCTTGTCTTGTCAATTGTAGGCCATTGTCAGTCGTTCTTTTTTGACGTCATAGGGTTTTATATACCAAGAACATTAAACAAAGATATAAGGGAGTAATCTCTGATTAAACCCTTAGAAAGCTTCCATAGAATATTGGAAAAGTCAAGGGTAATATAATGTCACAAATGTCATACAACTGTAATGTATTGGCCCTTCTGAATAGCAAAATTCTTAACCCACTTTCCTACTTATGAAGTTTTTTTGCATTTTTATTAATTTGTCCATAAACATTGCAAATAGAATCTCCCCTCTTGCTTAAGACATTTTTCATTTAAAATTAACATATATATTTTAATTACGAACTCAATTAAAAATTGTATTGTCAGTATACGCAAATATCGTCCGTTAGTTCATAAAATAGTTGGTGCTGCTGTCACGCACGGAGCGAATAATGAATGAAGATAGGCTGACTGAAAAATAAATTATGTCAATAGATAATTTAGTTGCTCATTAGAGGATTATTGTGAGATTATTATTATCCGAAGGTGAAAGGTCAACTTAATCCTAAACTAACCTTGCGTTACATTAAAAGCTGGAATACATACAACCAGAGTATTGTGCCTACTCGGACCTTAAAGTTTCTGCTCAAAATGTTAGAAGATAGTTAATACTGAAAGCTTTGACAATAAATTCTAAACTATTCGGTTTGACGACTGGTCGGGAGACGCAAAGGCATAAAATAAATGTCCTGAAAATTCTTCCTTCGTCGTTTCACACGGGCAATTAAAACTTTATTCGGCTGTTAAAAGTTAAGTATTTGTTGGGAAATTACAACCGCGTTTAGAATTTTATAAAGGTAGAAAGGCACTGGATGTGTTCAAATTGGATAGTATAAAGAAAGCGGCGTACCAAATTAATTTGCTAATATTGCATTTATTGGTCTAATACAAATGAGAATACTTGCAGGTATACAATAATGACAATGAATGCTTTATCTTTAAAAAGGATTTAGTTTATCCAGTCTTTCACAATAGTGCGAAATATAGAAATTCTTAGTTTGCAGAATTTCTTTCTTCGAAAATAAACTCTCTTATCTGCTATATCTTCTTTAAAAATCGAAATTTCTTCCGATTTGGAAAGAAAAATGTTTTCTATGGAAAATAAAGTTTGGTCTGTTATTTACGTCTTAGAAGAAAAAGTGAAATGTCTTCGTTTAGGAAAAAATAAAAGAGATGGAACAGAAGATAGAGGAAATAGAGAAAACAGACAGGCAAGTTGTGAAACAAGCAGAAGAGGGCGAGGATAGTTTAAATAAAGTGCCATGAGATAAAGTTAAAGCACAAATTGAAAGAAATTTTAAACTCTGCTGGTGTTAAAGCCCCAACTTTCGACGAAAATTACCTAAAACAGTTCGACACAGCTGCTGAAAGAAAAAGCAAAAGATCTGACAATCGTCCTTGCAGTTGTTCTTCAGACTATACCTGTAGAAGAGATGAATGACTTAGATATGGCCACGAACATTTGTTAAAGAATTTTAAACAGAAACGATGAGACTCTTCAAGAGAAATACAGCTTGTACCCTGTATATTTAAAATTTAACAAATTTTTGCCGGTCCATAGTTCATCAATCATAATCCGTTTCGCGGTGCCAGTTAAATAAAAAATGCGACACGGCAGCAGAGTGGCCACAGTGCGTAACGTATTCATATTTTGCTTGGTTGCATCTAAAAAAAAGGCGCAGGCGAGATATCAGCCTTCGGGAACAAAAGGAACAACAAGAAATTATCGAATAATTTTCAAGTCAGTTTTTGCCGACGTTTTTTTGGATCCTCAGGCTGAGTAAATCAACTTGTAACGTGGTATGTCTGTCTTCGGATTGCCAGAAGTGATTTGTAGCTCATTAAAGTGCACTGGCGTTCGGCCGTTTTATTTATACAGGGTTTATACAGGATCATTGGCAAACGAACAGGCATTTAAATTTGACAAATATTTCTCCTTATATATTCTTATGTATCTACTCAACAACACCGTTCATCGAGATAAAATGAAGTAGAGACGACATAAACACTATATTGCGATATGACAGATGGCCGCACTTAGCAATGCCTGATTGCCGCAAAGGTTTAATCAAAATAGCTGCTTAGAGTCGTACCTGCTTTGATTTATTTGAAGTCAATAATTTTATATTTTAAGATTTGTGGAATAAAAATGTTTTTATATCATTTAAATGAAGATATTTTAAAAAATGGCATTTATTTTTACCAAAACTGACTAGCTCGAGTTTGACACATGACTTTTCGCAACGTTGCTCGAAACAGTAGTCGGATCAGTCGCCATTTTTTGGAGCGTATTTAATTTACGCCACGATACACATACTAAAGGTATGCTGCCTTTCGATTCAAAATTCGTTCAAACCGCGCATGACGTAATGCGGGACGAACTTTCAAGTTATTTTGACACTTTTCGATTGAATAGTGTAAAATAATTTAATAATTTATTTGTTTTTGTGTTAGTAGTGACCTCCGAGCAATTACTAC